TTCATGGCCTAACCGCCCCAGGCCAGCGCCGGGAAGGAGGATCTTCACTTCCTGCTGGCCTGCATCTGGAAACTGGTCCTTTAGGGCCTGCAGGATACACGGAAAAGCGGCATCTCGTTCGTGGGCGCCAGAGGCTGCCCAGTCCCGGACGAAGTGCTTCAGAGCCTGCGACACGCTGACTCTCTCGGCGGGCCGACCGGCCTTTTTCATAACTCTGACATGCTTGTCCAACTCCTGTTGGCTGACGCCGTAGAAATCCATGGCGTTGCGCACGATGTTGTCGCAGAGCTGCTGATTCTTTTTGAGCAGCTCGGCAACGTCGGCAAACTTTTGGCTGTACTTGACCGTTCGCTCGAGGAGCTTTATCAATTAGCAAAGCCCTTGCTAAACCATGGATCAGCTAAAGAGGGAGCACACCGATTTCTGCTTCCTTGGCACGTGGCTATACAATCCTTTCAACCCGGTTGAGTTCCGCTTGCTGGGTATCAGCGTAGGCGGAGAATCCTCGGAGGGCCTCAAGGAGGCGATGGCGCGCATGGTGTTCGTTCCAGGTGCCGTAGTTTTTGCTTAGTCTTTGGAGCAGCTTCTCCTTTTCTTCAATCTGACGCTGTGTGTCTGATGGTCTCGACGGACGGTCATTCTCCGCGAGGACAACCTCGACTTCGTGGACTTCATAAACGAGATATTGCGGCTGGGGGATGTCAACAGTGGCCGTCATACTTTAGGTCCAAAACACTCACATTAGTGGCGTCAACCCCAACCAGCCCCGAATGGATCTCCGAGTTTGCTTCATCACACAAAGCACGGCCGGCCGAGAGCCAGCAGAGAGCGGCAAGAGTCGGAGCTGATAATCTCATGGCCAAAGGTTCAGCTTAGGGAATGGTTACCGGTCACCGGACGGTTCAATAGCTACAACTCTCCTTTTGAGAGTGGTAACTGGTAATCTACGAAAGCTGAAAAGATGAGAGGCTGGAGTAACCGTCAGGGCGTGGGGGTTGAGAACCTTGATGACCGCCAACCCACCCAACAACCGAATATTGGGAGCAATGCATGTCTTGGCTCGGTCAGGATCGGACTCCCTGACACCTTGCTAGGATCCCGGTTTGAATCAACCCTCACCATCCTGGAATTCGGGTTTGGAGGTCTTCTTGAGTCTGAGTTTGAGACTTTTGAAAAGTGAGGCTAAACCAAGAGGTCTAAGAGACTGAGAGCCAGGGGTGACCAATCGCAACCCCTGAACCCCTGAATAGAGGGCGACCACTTACACGCCGCCACACAATGTCGGGCGTCAATTACGTTGTGGGACCAGAAAATTTGCCACGGAATATGTGTTGTTCCAATACGAAGCCTACAAGTTGAGGTAGAGTCATCATCCAGGTACGCATATGCCGGGGCGCAGGGGCGGGGGTGCCGGTATTTGTACCTGCAGCAAGACATCACGCGACAACAGCCATATTGATTTCATAAGGTCTTCTACAACTGTTTCGAGTCTCTCTTGCTCTTTGATTTTGAGTTTCAAATAGAACCCACTTGTTTCAATATCTTGTACGTCTTAGCCATGGGAAACGGTGTATCACGCGCAGCCTCGCCAGGCCCTAAGGGCTCAATGAAGGCGAACCCACTGGCCCCAACGCCAGAGCCAACTCAGAATAAGGAGTCTTACTCAAGGACCTCGACACTGAAGATGACTCCACCGTCGACATACCAGCCTCTCACACCACCGCCGTCTGGGGATTCGAAACAACAAGATAGCTCAAACGAAATTACCCACGTCAGACCGGCCTCACCACCAGCATCCCCGGATCCACGAAGGTCAACACTATCCCCAACCCTTCTCGACACACCAACACCGAACACCTCGTTCTCAACACCATCCTCCTCATTCTCATTCAGCCACCCAAAACACAGCCTCTCCAGCATCCCCTGCTCCCGCTGCCACTGCCGCATCTCCCACCCCCAACCGAGCTCTCAACGCTCTAAGCCCCAAGCCCCGTCCCCACCCCGCACAATGCGGCCACGGCCTCTGCCACCGCTGCCTACGCGCCGCCCTCATCACCTCCCTCTCAACAGACCCCTTCACACCGGCAGGCTGTCCAGTACAGATATCCCCCCCCCGACCCACCATCACCAACCCAAACCCGACCTCCAGCGCGCCCCCCACAACAACAACAACAACATGCAAAGCCCCCCTCCCCCTACCCACCCTCGGCGCCATCGCCACGCCCGCCGAGTTCCTCGCCTACCGCAACAAGCTGCGCGAGATGCGCACCCCGCCCGACCGCCGCCTGTACTGTCACGACCGGGAAGGGTGCGGCATGTTTCTGGGCGTGCAGAGTGTTATAGGAACGGGGATGGAAGGGGTTGTTGAGAGTGCGCAGGAGGGGGCGTCGCAGGGGATGGGGGAGAGGGGTGTGAGGGTGAGGGTGGCGGCGGTGGTTTGTCCGCTTTGTGGGGGCAGGACGTGTAGTGGGTGTGGGGGGAGGGCGCATCGGTTTAGGGGTGGAATGGGTAGGTTTCTATTTCCTTTTTCTCTTATTCTTTTTTCATTTGGATCACATTTGTATGATGGGTGCGTATACTAATCAGGACAGGGAGTCCGAAAGATAAGCTGGGAAGGAAACGGAGGAGGACAGGGGGTTTGAGGACGGACAAGAGGAGAAAGGGGAGGCAAGTGCACAGAGCAGGGCCTTGTTGTCCACCTGGGATATAAGACAAGGCGCTAGACTGAATTACCGCTTGTGATACCTTACATAGAAGAATGTGTGAAATGATTGTTTTATTCGCACATTTTACACCCTACCACAGGCTCTTTGCCATAAACGTCCGCCTTCACCGTTGCCATCACCGAGCACATCGCTTCTCCACTATTCGTTTGCCTTCTACAATTCTCAACGACAACCACCGTCCGAATGACTTGATTAGTTATTTATTGATTAATTACAGTCTCTCCAAAGCCTGAAGTAAGCACAAAAGTATTGAGCGGAAAATAAGACGTACTTTACACAACTCCCTTATGTGTACAATCGCCCCAAGACGCAAGTAGCCATTCAGCAACAGGCACCGCAGCAGATATGGCCAGTTATTCCCAGACCTGCTCGTACTCCGGTAGACTCCATCCCTCAACGCTCTCGCGGATATTGATCATGTCGGCAATGTTGAGCTTGAAGAAGGACGCAAACCCCGCCATCAAGTTCAAAATACCGATGCTGAATGCCGACCCAGTCATGGTCCACTGAGATTCCGCTCTCTCGGGGATACCTTTCTGTATCCCTTCCATGAATAGCCGGAACTTGTCCTCGTAGTTCTTGAGCGCTACGGCAAGCCCGACCGCCTCGTTGGGCAGACCGCCGCTCACGTACTTGCCGATCTCGCCCGCCAGAATATACGCTCCCACCATGGCCGAAGTCGTGCCCATCCCCGACATGGCCGTCGGACAGTACGCGGCGTCTCCGACCAGGGTGACGTTTCCAGACGACCAGGACGGAAGCTTCACGAGGCCGAGGCGCTCGCAGTAAAAGTCATCGGCCGCCCACATGGCCTTGAGAAAATCATCCGTCATCCACCCCGCCCCCTTGAAGATCCCCTCGAGCACCTCCTTCTCCCCCTTCACATCACCCCGCGGCACCTTGTCGATCCCTTCCGGCCCCGACTTGCACGACAACAAAACCTGGATCTCGTCCGGGCTGTGCCGCCGGGTCATGATGCCGCGATGCTTGGCAGTCAGGTAGGAAGTAGCCAAGAACTCCTCCCCCTCCTTCATCGGCAGCCGCATGGTAAAGTAGGCAATAACCAACCCCGGTATCCGCTGCATGGGATCCGGCGCGCCAGGCCCGAGCATCACCTTCCTCGTGCGCGACCACTGGCCATCCGCCCCAACCACCAAATCAAACGTCTCCGTCCGACCATCCTCAAACCGCACGTCCACCTTTCCCCCCTCCACCTGCTCCAACGCCTCCACCGACGTGCCATACATATACTTGGGCGGCTGTTTCCCGGCCCCCTGCGCCGCATCAAACAACAACCGACACATATCCCCGCGCATCATCTCATACTCGGACGTCAAGCTCTGCTTTTTCCCACTACCCGGCTTGTTCGCGGGGAAATACGCGCGGCGCCGGCCCGACTTGTCCACCATCTGCATGCCCTGCTCCGGGGCCGCCTTGGCGCGGAACCCGGCCTCCAGGCCCATGCGCCGGAGCACCTCGATGCCGCACCCGCGCAGGTCGAGTTGCAGGCCGGTGGCGCGTAGGGACGGGAAGCGCTCGACGACCGTGATGTCGTGGCCTTGCTTGGCGAGCCAGAAGGCGAGCGCGTTGCCGGCGATGCCGCCGCCGCTGATGAGGACGCGGAGGGTGGTGGTTGGGGGGTGCATGGTGGGGTTAGTGGTGTTGGTGGCCGGGTGTTAGTGGTGTTGGTATGTTGGTAACTTGGTTCTGTGTCGGTTCTTGGGGTTGGGTTGTTGGCTTCAGCCTTCCAGTACCTTGATAGGTAACTTCTGAGGGAGGTATCGAATGATTAGGGAGAGTAACTGAGCAAATCCAAAGACTCGAGACCGGAGATACCGGAAGTACGGCTCTCTACTTCAACTTCCAGAAGTTCCAGGACAAAAGGAGCCTATAGGATGGAATATGAGAAAGGAGGGGGGTACGGAAGGTCACACCAATATACGGAGATTCCGGTTTTAAGTACCCAAGTGAGACATCAGACCGGTTGTACGCCGTAGCAGTCATGCAAACGCGTCCCAATAACACCAGTTGCATCACTCCTCGCTGGATCACCGATTTTACTGATCGACGGTCCGACCGCTACCTATTTCAGAAGTTCCGGTGGCGCTCTTTGGGCCCTTGTCTCGGCCGAGACAGGGATGAGACGGACATAAGGACGGGAAATTCATTGTTCTCGGGTATCACAACAATCAACCTCGCATGAAGAGGGGGGAAATCAACCCAGAAAAATGCTGAACTACCAAAGAGAAATCGAGCCCGATCCGACAAGGCTCGGCGACTAGATCGGTGAATTGAGTCATTGACCGACGAAACCCGGACCCTGATCCATCACCCATTGTCCATCGTCCACGTATTACACGGCTGGGACATCAACCCACTTCGGCGAGCTCTTCTGGGTTGCTTCGATGGAACCTCGTCATGGACCTACAGGGGCCACGCGGCCCTCGGCCCCTACGGCAGTCCGACGTCGACGAAGGCCGGCTCTCTCTTGTCAAGAATGTCGTCGTCGCAAGATCAGATGCGACCACAACAACCCTTGCGCAAATTGCATCCGTCATAAAACCAAGTGTTCCTACAGTCCTTTTACCTACTATGAGCCAGGCCCAACTGCGAGCGTCCGCTCGGGCGAGAGCTCCGGAACCCGGAGTCCTCGGCCGACGAGTGCGAGCCCACCACCGGCAGCAGTCCGCCTTGCTCCTCCGACACCACTGTCAGGGGCACAGGGTCTAGGTCAGACAACCAACGTTACGGCAGTGGCCGAGGACGCTTCTTTTCTCATTCCAGTCCAGTCTGCCTCCCAAGACGCGGAGGTGCCATTGCCAAATCAAGGAGGCGACCAGCGCTCGAATCAAAAGGAGCCAAACTTCAGTGATGTCTTGAACCGCATAGAGAAGCTCGAGTCACTCCTGACGGCCCGGAAGCAGACATGGACCGAGAACCCTCCAGCCCTCAATGGGCTGGGTGCACCTAGCACAGAGCGTCGCCAACAAACGCAGGAATGGCAGTCCGTTCTCAACAAGCCGCGAGATTGGGGCCGCTCTCGCTGGGTTGGCGATACCACCGAGTTCGCTGTCGTCATGGGCTGCTACTCGGAGATCGTGGGCAAGGCCAGCAACAATCCCGTCTTCCAGACTCCTGAGGCCTCGGCGCTGATTACCCAGGCTGGCGATGCCCTTCGGGGATGCAAGAACCGAGCCAAGAGTATCAAGATCGCCCGGCCGACTAGAGGTCTGCCGCCTCCTTATGCTTGCCTCGTGCCACCTTCGCTCGAGGTATCAACCCAGATGGCCGAGCTCTATTTCGCATCCTTTGAATCCACGTATGCACTTGACCAGAGCGGCACCCTACTTGCCTATGGTGTTTGAGATGCTGACCTCGCACTTTAGCCATCGAATCCTCCACATTCCCACCTTCTGGGCCGAGTTCCAGGAATATTGGGACCATCCCGACAGCGTCACCGAGGACGCCCGCCACAGAATCCTCCTCGTCATTGGCTTAGGGTCCAGCGTCTACGACCACGGCGATATAGCCGTCGCTCATCGTAACACCGAGTTGGTCCATCAGTGGATCTACGCTGCCGAGACCTGGATATCCGGGCCGCTGGAGAAAGACCGGCTCGACGTCAAGGTGCTGCAGATCCACTGTCTGGCCGTGTTGGCCCGTCAGATCTTCTCTCTCGGCGGAGACACGGTATGGGTGTCGATGGGATCGCTCCTCCACGGAGCCATGCAAATCGGCCTCCACCGCGACCCCAAGCACCTCCCAGCCATGTCGCTGCTGCAGGCCGAGCTCCGCCGCCGCCTGTGGGCAACCATTCTAGATCTAATTGTTCAGTCCTCCTTGGACGCGTGGATGCCGCCGCGCCTCTCGCTCGAGGAGTTCGACACGGAGCTCCCGTCCAGTGACGTGGACGACGAGGAGATGGACGAGACGACCACTACGCTCCCGCTGCACCCGAAGGAGAAATTCACCTCGACCTCCCTTCAGATCGCTCTCCTCGCCTCACTCCCCACGCGTCTGGGGATCGTACAGTTCCTGAACAACCTGAACTCGGATCGGTCCTACCACCGTGCACTGGCCCTGACGGCAGAGCTAACCTCGGCCATCAGCGCCAACAGCACACTTTTTGCCCCCAACAGCAGCAGCAGCAACGGAACCTAGCAGCAACGTGTTCCACCGCAACCTCCTCGACTTCCTAACGCGGCGCTTCCTCATCCCGCTGCACTTTCCGTTCAGCCACCAGGCGCGCGTGAACCCGCTGTTCCACTACTCGCTCAAGGTCAGCCTCGACACGGCCCTGGCGCTGGTCTCGCACCAGCCGGAGGAGGGAAACGACCGGTTTCAGAACCTGTTGTGCATTGCGGGAGGCATGTTCCGAGACGGGATACTGTACGCGACGTCGGGGATCTGCCTGGAGTTACTTTGCGCGTGAGTGTTTTCTTTGCGTCGTACCCCAACCATGCGACTTGTCTTGCATAGGCCCCGATCATTCGCCTATCGTTGATCCCGTGCTCCTTCCCTTCAACCCATGCGAACTCCAAGCCAACCCTGCCGCTCTAC